CGTCCCGGGGAGCGGAGGAGCGCGGCCGCGCGCGCGGGGCCCTGGACGCCGAGGGTGGCGCTTCCTCGGAGACTTGGGTGGCGAGGCCAATCTAAGAAGGTCACGGCAGACGGGGCAGGGCGACACGGCCGAGCCGGTGCAAATCCTCGGGACAGGCCTGCCGGACGCGCGGCGGCCTTGCGGGAAGGACGGTGACTCCCCAAACACCGTCTTCGCGCACCTCAAACCGTGCATGGAGGAGAGGAAATCGTGGGGCGGTGTTTGAGCCATCCCTGTGACTACAGTACACGCGAAAACCAGCTCCTTGGGCGGGGGTCGGGGGCAATTGTTTAGATTTTAGGTTTTACAAGTTACCTAAATTGCCCCCAGTGCCACGGCGCTGCCGTTCGGGTCACCCTCCTCCTCCCTGGCAGCCAAGAGAGCCCGCGGGGGCACACCGAGAATATCCTGGAGCCATGTAGTCTTGCTTCCAAGGCGTGGTGGGCTTATTTGTGCGAGGAAGAAACGGATCCCTTAATGGGGTAAGATTTCTCCTCCGTGCATTGTTCCCATTTCCGCAGTTTCACTTGGCCTCGGTTTTCTTCCAGTGTAATGTACCAAATGAAATTAACTGGAGAGCGTTTGATGGCGGAGAATCATGATTTGAAGATGTTTACGCTCTGTGCCGGACGCGTTTGATGGTGTTCTATTCGGCACAATTAATTTTGCAAAGTTCAGAAATGTGCCAGATAGAGCCCCTGGCACGCAGAGTCAGGGCTCTACAGACACACCTTCAATAGGAAGTAGGCTTGTTTGTTTTATCTGTGATTTATTTGATGCACCAGCACCAAGGCCATAGTGGTTTTTAGAGACCTTTGGATGAAATTCCAAAGCAATTTGTAAAATGGTAAAATGAGACTTATTTTCTAAAATAACTTTCCCCTGTTGATAATGTAACTATAATGGGCAACAAAACATCTGAAAATACATAGATTGAAAAGTAGAACCCCAAAACAAAAATATGTGTTTCACAGCAAGATATGGTCCCTACAAGTGTCCTAATGGCCAACTCCATCCCTGTGGGTATTTTTAACACTAAAACCAAACACTATTTGTTATCTCTTAAGACCTTGTTTGGAATTTTATATGTACTTGAAACCCCGTTTAAGATGTTCACCCCTAATCTTGAGTCCTTGGTGGTTTGGGAAACTCATCATTATTCGTGTTGGAAAATCCTGTAACTGTCTTTTCCGCTAGGCACAGGATGTAAGTTCACAGTAATTTTAGGGACCCACAATAAAATGTTAATTTCTTTTTGAATCAGAAGAAAAAAAAACTTTTAGGCTTAAGGAAGTATTTTAATATATCAATATACCAAGGTGCCAAAAAATGTATTCATGTTTTAAGAGATGTTATCTATGTATTACTTTTAGTTTGCCATAATCAGAAGTGTCTGGACCCTGATGGTAACCACTTTGAGCATCTCTTGTCATTGCACAAATCAAATGTGACTTGTATTCATCTTTTGTTATTGGTAGATATTATAACACTTTTAATACAGTTTTTTCCTTTCTTAAAATGCGTATACATTTTTGGCACCCTCTGTATTTGTCTTTATAGTAATGCAATCTTAAAGTATAACTTTTTTTTTCTCATGGAGGAAGGGGCTCAACAAAGGCAAAATGCCTAGGATACCAGAAACACATGATGCGATCTTGTTGCCTAGGGTTGAAAAATCCCTTTCCATGAGGAAAAAAAATAGTTTTAAGCACATTACGTAAAATGCTGACTTCTGTGGCCTTGTTTCATATATATATATATACGGGGGGGAGAGAGAGAGAGAGACTTGGAGTATTAATAATGGCTACACTGGCATTGTCTGGCATTGTCCATTATCTCTGTTAATTCTCACAACACGGCTTTGACAAAGGTACTTTTCTTACACCTATGGGCTGATGCAGGTTTTGAGGGGCCTGAAATTTATGCAATTTCAATGGTCCCCTTAAAAAAAAGAAAAAAAAAAGATACTGGGTGCTGTGGCTCAAGCCTGTAATCCCAACACTTTGGGAGATTGAGGCGGGCTATTTGCTTGAGCTCAAGAGTTGGAGATCAGCGTGGGCAACATAGCGAAACCTTATCTCTCCAAACAAAAACAAAAACAAAAACCCTAAAAACTAGCTGGGCATGGTGGTGAATGCCTGTATTCCCAACTACTTGAGATGCTGAGGTAGAAGGATGGACTGAGCCCACGAGGCCGAGGCTACCGTGAGCCACGATTGTGCCACTGCACCCCAACCTGAGCAACAACAGAGTAAAACCCCAACTCAGAGAGAGAGAGACAGATAGAGAACAAGGGAGAGGGGGACGGGTGGGGGAGAGAGAGACACATACACACACACACACACACACACACACACACACACACACACACACAGAGAGAGAAATGAAACAAATACAGTATGCCCAGGTTGCTCCAGTACCACCCAATAGAAGGGAAAATGACAGAGGGAAAATCCAAGGTGGAAAGACACCTCAGTTTCAGCTGACTGTGGTTACAATATCTTACTTTTGCAAATTGTACAAAAACACATGACTATATGACTGTATTGCTAAGACTCCCGCCACAGCCTTAGATGAACACTAGAGAACAGCCTGGAAGCTCATGCTGAATGAGCTTCATAGAAAATCTGCCTGTGACGAGTACCTATTTTATAGGTAAGAAACTTAGAGACTTGCCACAGTTTCGAGGAAACACCGTAGTTCCCAAACCATACTGAGGTATGATTTGAAGAGTTGTTTTATATGTACTGTTTCATGAAAAATAATGGATTGTATATTTTATCAACAAAGAGTGTTAAAAATATGTTAGCAATTTGGAGTTATAACCAGCCCATAACCCAGTTTAAGACACTTGATTACTGTCTGTGCTGTCAAGAGTAAATTTTTCTTATCTACTGTATAAAAATTGACCGTATGGATTCTTAAAGAAATTTCAGCTCAATTTCAAGTGTCATGAATTGACACTATTTTTATTTATCTCATCAAAGGCCAGTCCATGTTGTAAATACTACCTTATATAATATTTACTCTTTGCAACTTCATGAAATATTGCAAAATAACTATCAGAACAAGAATTTGTTTTGTTTAACACGGTGTATAATACAAACAGCCTTATCTTCCTAAATGTTTGTCAAACAAATAAAATAAGGAAATAGCAAAGATCACATAATTAGAAGTAAAAATGTGGGTTGTGTAACAAGCTGAAATTGAATGAGAATGAAGTAGCAAAATGTTGAACCGTAAGTACTTGCTGGATAAGCAGAATTGGCTTTTTGCTTCTTAATTATTTTGTGCTCTTCTTCCCAGCTATTGACTGTTCTTTCCGCTTTTCTGTTTTGTTCATTTCTTTTATTTTCTTTCTTTTTTAAAAAATGAGATTCCATTGGAAATTCTTAAATATAAAATATGCTTAGGTGAAACAAAAAACATAATACATCTGTAATGAAAATTCTGGAAATGAAAGGTTTTGTTTTCTGAAAGGATTAATCACTCACAAAAATACCAACCTTGAGATGATAGGGGTTTTATTACTAAATTACCTACATCTTGGCCCTTAAAACAGGCTTCTCTTGATGTGTGATCTAATATATGTAGTATTTATCAGTTAGTGGGACAAGAGATGGCTGTGTTCCTGGAAGAAATTTTGGAACCAATTTTGTAACCAAATAAAAATCTACAAATTAAGCATAGTTATTAACTAGTGGTTAATCGAAATGAGTGAAACTGTTCATTTTAAGCCTAACTGACAAATGTAGTCTTAAATTGGTTTATTTTAGAGCCTAGTTTTGGACAAGATTCAAAACTTTAATTAGAATCCTGTAACAAGAAGAGTATGAAAGTAATCAGCTAATTTTCTCTAGATTTTATGTTCTTTACCCAAAGTAGTTTGGAATGCGATTGAAGGGGCATGAAAAATGTGATAAACACTATGAAAAAAAAGTATCTGCCCAGAATTCTGTTTGGAATATTCGCTTTGAGATAAAATAATTTCAGGGTGTTATGTAAAATAATTTGATACATTATTATACCTCTTGCATGGTCCCCATAAGTTTGCATTTTGTTTGTGTTTTGTTTATACTATGCCTTCTTCCACAAGGGTTTTAAGGTGGCTTATGATGAAAGACAATTTTTTTTGGTTGAAACTCTGGCTGAGACAAACAGCATTTGAGCATAAAACTTAGATTCAAGCTTCCTCATAACAATGAAATAGAGGAAATGAAGGTTTGCATAACTCTCATTGTCAAGTGGAAGGAACCACAGAGTTTTATTTAGGAGAAAGTCTTTCCGGGCCCAGTCTCTGGAAGGAATTTGTCATAAGGGTCTTTATATGAGGGATATTCAAATATCTAAGTTGTTAAGAGGGATACTATACAACAACAATTTTGGCTATCTTTTGGAGGTAGGCAGAGCTAATATGTTTTTCTGGTGAGTAATTTCGAAATTACTATTGTTGAAAGTAAGTACTGAGACTCTACAAAGTTATTTTTTAAAATACTGGCCTTTGAAGTCAAGCCAAGGATGTAATATCAAATCTTGATTT